GATTATATTCCACCAACCGCAACATTTACTACATGATTCCAAATTGCATGTATTACATTCCTACATATTTGCAGTAAAATGATCCTTTAAGCTGTTCACATGGATATGTTTTATGCCATATATGTAATTGCAATTAAATGCCGACTGTAAATGAATGGGTTCGGCAAGCGTTAATGCCCGTAACCCTCAAAGATAAACCTGTATACATAAGGAAAAACACTTTGTAACAATCGGTCAAACAGCCTGTCTGTTATTCGTTAAATACTTTACACCTTTATGTAAGTGGAAGATATTTTTATTCAGTTAAGAATTCGAATATTGCTTGAAACGATGCAAAATATGGTTGTTTTACCTTATCAAGAATGAAACTTTGATAGTCCTTCAGCGCCACTCAAAAAATATCAAATGGACTTCGCGGGGGCGGCCACTAGAGTGGTCTTGAGGCTGCAATTCTATAGCGAGCCCCCAACACGAACCCTAGAGCTTGAAAAATTGGAGGAACTTGCTGTTGACCGTCTGAAAATTCTCAAGTGTGTGGAGACTGTGTGTCAAGATTTCGTGAAAGGCAGTAGAGAATACGAGGAAAGGCTGTCATCCGAACTCGCCAAATTAGGGCCTTTGGGGAAGTCCTTTACCCTCTCTTCAAATCAAATCAGACATGCCGCCGAGGATATTGACCGCGATGTAACTTCACATTTCATCCTTCAGGTACTATATAAGTTCTACATACGGCGTTTCACATACATCTAACTAAAACGACTCCTTCGTTTTGTTCCTTTGAAATTATCATGAGATTAGATAGATATTTCCGTTAAAATCTTCGTCTATTTAGTAATAAATATTTCTAAAGCTGCCCCTATCTCCGAATTTCGTCTCTCGCCCCACTAACTTTGAAGACTTCCCTTGATGTGGACTCCGTCTTTGATCTTGGTTTGCTGAAAGTACGCTCCTGCTTCTCTTCTAAGCCCGACCCATTTAAGGATGATGTACCGCCTCAGGCGACAAGGGATCGGACATAGTATCAGTTCAATACTCACTTACATTAAAGGACCCCTTCGGCCTTAAATGTACTATTTGCTGCATGCTCCTCTCGAATAAATGGTTTTAGTGCAGATGGGGTGTGATCGTTTGTATGTCACAAGTGACATGCATCCTATTGGAAACCGTACATATTTAAGCATTTCTGAGAACATTTAATGATTCTCGTAAACCAAGGTCTTTTAGGTTTCGCA